CACTTTAATGATGAAACATTTGAATCCGATTACAATGCATAGAGTAACACATCATTCTCAGTTATAAATAGATAAACAATTAGGCCTAACGTTAGTAAATATTAAGTATTCATTTAATATCATACGATTTCTTCCATGCCACCCTGGTAGAAGACTACATGTGTAAGCCTTCGGTGCAGAATCGAGTCCGGCTAGTGACAGACGAATTTCATGAAATTGTTCTATCAACAAGGTAAATAATAGGTAAAAAAAATATGTTGTCATTCAGTAATCTATTTCACGGTCAAAGGAGACTTGGTTTATATTAGAGTTATGTCGGTGTGGTATTGTATTTTATTGTGCACCTATTCTTACATCTAAATATAAATGGACAAGAGTAATGCATCCACCAAAAGTTCAGAAACAAATGCTCATGATATAGTCGGAATCGTACAATCGATTCTGCTTTATGCAGAGATTCCTATTGGATGTTGAAAGGGTTTTGTCGTTTTGTATATGACGTAGCTTCAAGAAGTAATTTAGGGAAATTAGATAGCATACGTCATCAAGGTCTGAGGCTCTGTCTAGGAGCTTTAATGACATCTGAAGAGTAGTTTTTTTTCAGGCTGATAAACCTTCACTAACACAACGCCACGTAAAGTGATACATTCAGTATTTCACTAAATTACGTTCAAACCCATTAAATCCAGCTTATAATTGCGTCTTGCGTGCTCTTAATGTGGAACTGTTTCGAAACAAGCCCAAACTTGTACTGCCACTTGAGATTTGTATGTAATCTCTTATTGCTGCTGCTAATATTGACTAAGATATCATATCTCCATACCGGCTTCTGTCTACTCCTCCTTGGCAATAAGTCAGGCCTGAAGTAGACCTTTCTCTCACTAAGTTTTAAAAATCTGACACAAATAAAATAATATATCAACAGGGATATATACAATTACGAACTTAATATGACAATCATCGTTCAATCTTTACATATGAATCCAAGGATGGTGTCAATGTTTCAGGTTCCACTGTCTTTGGATAAAACATTATGTCATTTAGAATATCAGACAATAGCACTATTTTCACAGCTGAGGCCAATGCTTTCCTTACAGTCTATGTAGTACAGTATACATTCAACGACAGTCTGCATGTTAACAGATTATCACCATTTCTGATTCTCTATCTTCAGGCACTGAAAGATGTCTCATCCAAATTTATTAGATATTTTAGAACTTTACAATGATCTTTCAACTGGCCAATACGACATCGTCTTTTATTGGTTGCCTAGTCATGTGGGCATAAAAGGTAACACAATGTCAGATGCTGCAGCAAAAGCAGCTCTCAACAAATCTCTGACACCATTCAGTGATTACAAACCTGTGGTTGGATGTTACATCCGAAATCTAATGCAAAAGAAGTGCGAAAGAATAAGTTACATGAAATCAAACCAAACATCGGTTAAACCGACTCGGGTTGTCAGTCCAGATTTGAAGAGGACGTTTGTTGGTTGGGTTGTTGTTTAACGCCGCACTCAGCAATATTCCAGCTATATGACGGCGGTCTGTAAATGATCGAATCTGGACCAGACAACCCAGTGATTAATATCATGAGCATCGATCCACGCAATTGGGATCGATGACATGCATCAACCAAGTCAGTGAGTGAGCCTGACCATCCGATCCTGTTAGTCGCTTCTTACGACAAGTATAGTCGCCTTTTACGGCATTGGTTGCTGAAGACTTATTCTACCCCAGATCTTCACGGGTCTTGAAGTGGTCATTTTCCGATGATGTCGTCTTGGCCATTGGAGATATACACATGAATATTTATTGAAAAGTGAGGATCCTCCATTCTGTATCCCTTGTCCTGCTTGACTGTGTTCATTTTTCCATCACAAGTGATAACTATTTCAAGGTTTCATCCATAATATGATCTTAATAATCTAATAAGTGCTCATTGATTATGGGTTGTTTAAAACAAATAGAATTAATGGATTTTTGATTTTTGATGTAGAAGGTTATGTATTTTATAAACTGGAAGTATATGATAATTAACTGAGATTGTTATTGTCTATGCCTTTGATGGGGGTAAAAGTAGCGTAAAATTATTGTCCCCCTGATTGAGTATGGTCGTCAAATTCATTCCAATTATTTTTGTCCCCCGCCGCGCGAAAGCGCGGAGCGGGGGATATAGTATTCACGACCGTACGTACGTCCGTCCGTACGTCCCACCTGTTTGTTGCCGCGATATCTCAAGAACTAAACACTGGATTGTCTTCATATTTGGAACTATGGTGTATATACAGACTCCTCAGACACCAGTCGGTTTTGGTGACCTCGACCCCATTTTCAAGGTCACAGCAGGCAAATCTGCTTTGGAGTTGCAAAACGGTGTTGCCGCAATATCTCAAGAACTAATCGCTGGATTATCTTCATATTTGGTACTGTGGTGTATATACAGGCGGGGGACATTTCGTCACTTTGTGACAAATACTTGTTATGTCTACCATTGACCCAGGCTCAATTATTCATAAGACGTTGTGATACTGTCTGGAATACTGTCTAGGTCTACACTGATGTCTTTCTTATGACATACCAAAAAAAGTAGTAGCAGCCCAGTCGTGAACATGCCGCAATTATCTACGCAAAGTTGGGTCCCTTAGTAATGCTGATAATTCACTCACTCACTAAAATGTGTCAGAATAATCCTCAATGGTAATTTGAGCGTGCATGGGATTAACCGTTTCCATTCACTAATAATGACCACAGCTGATTCCTTCCTCAGCGAATAAACTTGATTGCCTGAGTAATATTTTACGTTGCTTTTAACAATTGCCCATCAATACCACATAGGCCTGTACTTCACGGAGTCTTTGAAAGGTTGGATCACACGTGTTGAGAACAAAGTCTTCAATACAGTAGGTTCTGACAACCAGCAACGTTGTTGACAAGATGGAACGAATATCACTTAATTCTCTACTCGGATTCTATTCGAACGCATTGTATCTAGTGTGGCTTGGAATGGTCATTTACGTGATTTATATAACTGAGTGAATAGGTTTGGTTTTACGTTGTTTTGAACACCATAACTGTTATGTAACGGCGTGCCAGCTTGGGCAAGTGATGCTCGAAGTGACTAAGGTCTTAGACGTTTACAACTTTAGTAAAATCCTCGGGTACTGTGCTCACAACCCCAGATACAAAGTCAGTCCGGATCTTCGATTTGAACCCCTGTTGTCTGAGACGACTAAGGTACGCAACTCCACTATTCACGGTGAAGTATGGCGCCTAAGGAGAATCCCCCAACACACACACACACACACACACACACACACACACACACACACACACACACACGGACTGACATGAGTATATGAGCGTATCCTCTTGTATATTTACATTCAATGTGTATTTAGATTCAGATCAACACAAGGTGGGCACTAATTTAAAGTATATGGCCTCTTGATGCAGAACAGGCAACTGCTCGATCTCATTATACCAAATTAACAGGCAAAGGGGCCAGAAACCATGCCTACAAGTGATCTCAGATAAATACTCACAAAGCCTGTTCTTTTGGTGGTGTTTACTGTGACTGGAAAACTACACATCCTGACAAATATTGATGAGGAACTAAATTTACCTTTCGATTTCCTTTACAACAGTCGTTCAGTGTCGAATGGCCTCAGGTAAACGTCTGATTGTCAGCAGAAGATTGACTTTCAATTTGTTCTGATCTCTTCCTGCTTGGTTAGTATCGATTCTGCTGAGAGATAGTCATCTGTGGCCAATTGTGTTTGCTTGCGATTTCTTTCAATGTATTTTTACCTCCAAAATCACTTTTCAATACCAAAAGAGAATAAACTCCTGGAAATTCAGACGTGGTTTATTGAACAGAAATCATCCTTGTACCACAATTCCACTCACTGAACGTTTTTCAATTGCCACTGCAATTTTTGACGCAGAACAAATCTATCTTTCAAATGGACATGGTCGTCCTTCCATATCAACCGTTTGCTGTTTGATCATCTTGTAATATTTAAGCAGTTTTTCTATCACCAAGGCGGCTGCTGCAGACACTATCCCGCCAGCAAGAAGATAGAATGCAGTCTGCACGTCTTCGAGCTCTATTCCGTCATGGGATGTCGCCTTGTTATCACAGTAAGGCTGTTTGGGCCACCACTTTTCCTTCCAAGAACCAAGCAGTCCAAAGTTCTCCATGTCCATCGTTCTTAAAGTAAACGTTAATTACAAAATTTATATCGCATGCAAAAAGATAGTGGTATACAGTATTTTACATCTTAAAGCATCGTTGATGTCGAAAATAATTAGTTAATAACCAAACACCTTAACTTGTAACAGGATTGTATCTGCTGATCAAGCTGAAGTATTCTTGTTCTTGCGATATAAATGTACTTGTCTTCGTGAGTAAGGTACTTCATCAAATGGCATGCTAATGTACAACTGGCATATGATTTCAAATGATATATGAGTCACATGGGCCATCTTTATCATTTGTTCTGTTTCGTAACGCATTTTCATTTTAGTCCGAATCTATCAGTTGAATATCATGTATCAGGAAATAAAAATATAATTTAGAAGTAAAGGTTATGTGAAAGAAACCATTGAAGATAATTTTCCAATTTCTGAAATTTGATCTAGAACTTGGATAGCTCAATTTTCTGACATCTGGTGTCAGGACAATGATGCATGTGTAATGAAATAACAAGTGACGCATAATACTTAAACAGTGTTTAAATAACTGTACAAACTGAGCATTGAAGTTCCTTTAAGTACTATAATTATCACAATAAACTACTAACTCATTCTGTCGATACCATCATACAATACGTAATAAGATTAACAAGGAAAAGCAACATATGGACAATGTAACCGGATCTTCCGACAAGTACAACCTTCACAACTAAGGACAACTCCACCATTTGTACCATAAGCTACATATATTGCACAGAATACAATTTACTTACGCCCTTGAAAAGATTTGTGCAAAGGGCGAACCTTTTGGAAAGGCACAGGCATAGGAGATGCGGTAGAACGTCTCTGTTATAGCCTGGATACCGCATGAGTTTCCAGCACACACAGACGCCATATGAAGTTCCGTGAAGTACACATACGATCCTTCATTCACCTTATCACAATGAGCAGTTTGGTCAAAGGAGGTCACCCTTGGGTCAGTACGGTTGAACTCTTTTATACCCTCCCATACGTTTTTGAAGTCCGGTTCTGTCTGTAACATATTCATTGCAACACATTGTTGTAAGGTCACAGTGGCTAATGCACCGGTATCATATTGGTGATCATATCATATTTTTTAATTATTATACAGATTAAAAATATGTAATGCAGCAGAGTAGAGACCGGTGGCCTGAAACGGTTCGTCATCAGCTCACCCTTGCCCCCTCTACACGAAGCCCAGACAGTGAATTGGACTTCTCCCAGGAGGAGCGTCCAAGTCGAACCCATCAAGACTGTGTCAAAAGGGACAGAGAATACAATGATATAAATGATTTCATTGGATTTATAAAAAAAGTACAGGATTACGTTTGTTGGACAACAAAGAATTTTGTATGTATCATTTTCCATGACGCCCTCTACATATTCCGGGTCGTACCATTGATGGACCTCTGTGTCAAAACCACAAGCATGGCGAAGACAGTAATAAAATGATCGAGCTACACCATCATGTCGTTTAAGATACTGTGTTTGTGCCAAAGCTGGGCATCCACTGACAATGTGTTGGACAGTCTCATTAAATTCATTACATAATCTACATTTCATATTTACATTTCGATGCAAAATCACTCACGGACGGTTTCGAGTGGGAAGTGACTGGTCCTGAGCAGCAAACAGAAAGCCTTCTGTTTCACTTTTCCGGCCAGACGACTTCATCCAAGCGAAGGACTCTGCAGGATTGCTGATCTTCTCAACATACTGCAAATAAACTCGATGCAGTAGTCGTTCAGATAGCCTCTCCTTGAAAAACTGAGTCTGGGCCGACTTGCAATGGCACTTCGCTTGGTTGACACTCATTTCTGTACCGTCCAGCAGTATAGAATCATCAACAAAATCAACACCGACATTGAGATTATGTCCCACATCCTTGGCTCGTTTTAGAAAACTGTGGAATGCCTTGTTTTCATCATGAGTCTTGACATGCTTCACAAGTGCAAAAGTGCACAAACAATTCTATCACGAAGAGCCCCAACGTTAATCAAACCACGTCCTCCTATAATAATTGGTAAATATAAGCGATTGAGAGAAGAGCGAGGGTGGTGGGATCTATTGTCTGACATGATTCTTCGTGTGAGGGTGTCAATACCCTGAATTTCTTTTTTCGTTCAATCAACAACACTAAAAGAATATGAAAGGACGGGTACAGCATAAGTATTTGTGGCTTTTACTTTATTGCGAGCGTTCGGCGTTCTTAAGTCTACATTTGTACTCTACCCGAAGTTTTTCCTTGTTATGGGCATTCTGGAGTTTGTCCCTAATGTACATCCCCAAGTACGTATAGGCCTGATCTTCCACGAAATGGTCAATAATTCCTCCTCCAAGTAAACTGAGTGATCCTCCCTCTTCTCCGTCTTCACGTTTCAGATGAAGAATGTTGCATTTGTCGAGTCCTAAGGACATGCCGATATCTTTAGAAAAGGATTCGACAAGAAGAATCTGTTTTTTGAGTGTGGATCCTCCATTGGCAATAAGTTCAAGGTCATCCATTATTATTATTATTATTACTAGTAGTAGTAGTAGTAGTAGTAATATCGTAGGAATCTGGTCATATCCACCACAGGGGTGAGTGAGTATGGTTTTACGACCCTTTTAGCAATATTCCAGCAATATCACGGCGGGGGACACCAGAAATGGGCTTCACATATTGTACCCATGTCGGGAATCGAACCCGGGTCTTTGGCGTGACGAGCGAAAGTTTTAACCACTAGGCTAACCGACCGCCCCTTCCACCACAGGAAGGCATAGTTGCATATATGAATAAATCATGGTATTTGTGGTCATAAACTGTAGACTTCTTACCTCAAACTTAGAGTACCAGATTGTACCTCCCGACACTCCCCATGTATATTCCGTCTGTTTGGTTACATCATCAATCGTGTTGAAAGGTGCGTTGTCCCTGGCTAGAGTAAGGATGGCCATGAGGTTGCCGCTATACGCTGCCGCGATGATGATGGTGAAAATCCAGAGTGAAATGACTAACACTCGGCCAGATCTGGAGACCACTGTACACTCGGTAACTAAAGGCAAAACTTCATAAGTCATTGTTCATATGTAATGGACGATCTTGCAAGAACATCTTCTTTGATGAAATGGCGAAAACTGTGAAAACTGACAGAAACTAATTAGGCGTGCTAAATAAGATGTTCAAAAACGTTTTTGGCAGGAATAATTAATGAATGAGTTTGACTCAACGTCACTTTGAACAGCTTTTCACGGCCTGTCAGCTTGACGTGGGAGGAAAGTCTCCCGTTTCAAATGCAACACGAACTGTGAGGCAAATACAGAACGCAGTAGAACACTTGGTTTGACCAAGAAATTACAAACATCAAAATGTAACGAATTGAATTTTTATAATCCATGCGACTAATTATGTGATACATATCAGTAAAATGAACTAACATTTACAGGTATCAAAAAGGGAATAACTCGGTGTCATAAAGGTACCAAAATATTACCGTAACTAACATTATATTTACTAACTAGCGAACTTAATTATATGTGTATGAGATATACACGTAAGGGTTCTTTTCCCGTTTTTATGAAAGAAAAGTATCTTAAAAGAAGTCATTAGCTTCTTAAAAGTTAACTATTCCAATAATTAAGCGTTCTCGTCATACTGCAACGCCAATTAGGATGTTTCTAAGCAGTGTCTTTCATTGTTTCAGTGAAAGCTCATCAGGAAAGCATAAAACTCTTCAATCAATGATTTAAACAACCTAATGAAGCAAAAAAGATGTATATCTCTGGAAAATTCCAGTTTGAAAAGGCACTATGTTCAATGTTCAGAATGATTAATTGATTCTTCAAAATTACCCTCACTCTTTACTTTTACATCACAGTTTTGGATCTTTATCTCACTAGAGGGGCGGTCGGGTAGCCTAGTGGTTTAAGCGTTCGCTCGTCACGCCGAATACCCGGGTTCGATTCCCGACATGGGTACAATGTGTGAAGCCCATTTCTGGTGTTCCCTGCCGTGATATTGCTGGAATATTGCTAAAAGCGGCGTAAAACCATACTCACTCACTCACTCACTCATCACACTGGCGAGATTCTCTATGAATGAAAAAAATGTCTGTTGGACGTTCATCTGTTTATCATTGCAACTTTTATTTTGAATTTACAACAACTCTTCAACTTTCTATCTTGAAAGTCAGACTTTTATATTATAGTATGTAAAAGAAGTTGGGGATATTTTGTGTTGAGGTGCAACTAAAGGAAAATACACCAATGTATAGCAATGGTAAATGATTTATGTTGCAAGCAAGAACCTTTCCGAAGAAATCAAGGATGTGCTCAGTTGGTGTGCCAGATTTACCATTGTCACAGAGATATGGGTGTGAGCAGATGGATATTGTTTTTTTAAGCAAACGCTCAAAGACACTTTATTAAACACACTTAATCGTTAAGGAAGCAACAACATTGATCATGCGACGTTTGCAACGTGCTGAACGTTAACGTGCCATGTTGCAGGTGGGCACACGTCAGAATAGTGTTGCCTAAACGCTGCATGCTTCTCAATCTGTCATCATCAGATTGCGGGCCAGATATCAACAAACTCATAACGTCGATGATTGACGCCGCTCTGGACGCCCAAGGACCCAGGACAGATTGTTCAGAACGATGGCATGAAGAAAACAGTTGCAACTGCCACTCAGATGAGGGGCCGGTTGCAACAGGCAACTGGTGTAAGAGTACCTGGCCAGACGGTGAGAAATCGTCTGTCTTACAGCATTTGCGTGCACGACGTCCGCGTGTCATCCCACATCGTCACTGGTAGTCAGAGGCGAAAATGGTGTAGGGAACGTCAGCAGTTGGACAATCGACTTTGGGCTACTGTTTTCTGACAAATCGAGTTTTATGAACGAACGAAGGAGTCGGGTTTGGTGACGTCCTGTTATGTGGACGTTAACATCGTATAACAAGTTCGTTTTGGGAGTGGGTCCATAATGCCATTTGATGGCATTACTATGACTGGCCAAACTGTTCTCCATATTGTCCGTGGTAGAGTCACTTCTCCTTTCGGTAGTACATCATTGCACCACTCGTGGTGCCCTTTGCGCAACGGGTTTGGCAACGTTTTATCTTTCAAGATGATAATGCACGTGCTTATCGTGTCAGGATTGTGACCCGATGCCTGGAACAGCAAAACATCCATGTCATACTATTTCTAAGATATGTCTTGATGATTCCTACTATCCTTCACTGTCCCTTACCTTTTTGACATATCATATTAAAGGTGTCTGCCAATAAAAAACGCCTTCTAACTGTCATAGTGAAATACGTCTATGCTATTATCTATGGATACTTACCACATCTAACGAAGGTTCCAAACACAAACATGATTGTATCTGCCCACAGCGGAGAACTACTATAATTCTGTGAAGTACTGCCTCCGTACTTCTCTCCGAGGTACAACTGTATGCTGAGGACGACGAAGACAATGGCGAGACAGAGGAAGACGGGGTATTGAAAGGGTTCCAGCAAGGTCTTCATGGCCTTATGTTTGAGGGCAGGTGACTTGAAGACACCGCCAGCGTAACCATAATAAAAGGGGTAGGCAAAGTCAACAACCCTGCCTCGATCAACCGACGTGGTTAAGGGTGCCATCGCAAGGTCAACTTCCTGAAACCAAATGTAATCAGTTTGTTCGAATAGCCTGTGTACAACAAGACAAAGTTAATCCTAATTCAATTAATGGGGAACAAGGCTCGGGCAATATGGCAGCCCCAGCATGTGTGATTCATTTCGTTCAACGCATTGTTTACTTGCTCAAATGTCATTATTTTGACAATATCTTGACCAGGACTGAAAATTTGCAACAGAGGGTCGAGCATTGTCCAGCTTTAGCTTGAAACATCGTTATAACGTTATGGACGGGAAATAATTCCTGTCAGCACTGTGGCCTGACACCTGTTGTCTGATTAGGGTTAAATACAATAATTAAAGTACACTTTAAAGTTTATTAAAGTTAATTAAAGTACAATAATTGTATATTTCTTGAGTTTTATTATCATTCTGGGCCTTGTTGCTGTGGTTAGTAAATTCAAAAGAAATGTTAACAAAATATTCATACTCTATAATATTAGATCAATTGGGCTATGAACAGGAAATGTCTTGTACATGGCCCAGTTGTCTAAAGTACGATACTTACACTTGCCTGGACATTAACGCAAAGAGGACCTTCACCCAAAACAACCATTTGTACGACAAATTATAAATGACAGTTATGTTGTTACAAAGTATTAACTTAGTTCCAACAGATTTGCACGCACCCTCCGCTGCACCTGCCCAACTAGACCAGTCCATTCTTCATTTGCGTTTCTGCCCCATTCTCCATCAGGCGGTTCTTCGAATACATAGCTTGTAAATACAGTGAGTTGGATTAGACATGAGTCAGATTGATGTGGAAGTTATGCCCGAAGTGATGCAAGTCTTCGACCTTAACCACTTTGGTGAAACCTACGAGCTTTGGTAAGGTGCTGACAACCCCAGAAACATTATCAGTGCGAACCGAGATTCAAAGCCGCAACCAAAGGTTTCTGGCACGCTTGAGGGACGCGACTCAAAAAAGAGAATTGCGGTGCCATAGACGACTGCCCCAACTTGTAAATACAGAATCGTCAAACTTTTATGTCTACAAAGAGTGACATATTTATTGAAACATTCAAGTATAATGTACCTGTGAAACTAGACTGGTTCAGATTATTTTTGCGACTATGCCCTTTCGTCGTAAGGGGTACATAAGGATAATGTATAGAAACAGAATAGAAACAAAGATTCATATTATTACTTCTCTACTGAAACTGGTAGGAACAACATTACTCATTATTGTTGTGTTATGCGGTTTTATAAGGACTGCCTTCCTTCTACAATAAAGAAAAACATGTTATATTATGTCTCAACCAAGGCGACTAAATGTAATTGGTGTTCAAACCCGTTGCCTCGATAATTGTGTGACATCGAACCCTGATAGCGTGGATCGTAGCTAATAATTATAATCACTAGTAACTCGATTTGTTACATGTCGCCTTCAAATAGCTGGGTTATTGTTGAATGCTGTCAACAACAAACAAATAAACAAACGAACTCAAAGGTAACAACTCCGTCAACGGCACATAGCTTCTTACCTAAAGTTTGTTTTGACAGCCATATGGTGAAGCATTTCAACGCAGAATCCTGTATATCTCGGGGTTTCAGTTTCCGCTGATCGGATAACGAATGGTGGCCACTTAAAAAGATGCAATTGCTGTTATTTAAAATATAATACTGTCAAACGAACTTCTTATTTTCTGTATTTTGTCAGAATCTTTCCTAAAAGAATAAGATGATTTCATGTTGAACAAATTCAAGCTGCTATAACATCGGGGTGTTTATCACCTCATTCGTGCCTATGACAAGTTGTCGCATGTTCAGACCATGTTGTGTGTTAGGGAATGCTGCGGCAGACAGTTCCACCTCCCCAGACGTCATGACGTTCCCGACGACGTCCCAATATCGTGACCGCTCTGCACCATACATCAGCGTCCGTACAGGTATCGGGCTACAGCAATCTACCTGTAGCAGACACGTGCACATCACTTACACAACTGTCAATCAATTAATCAAGATATATATTTATAAATATTCATGAACCTGAGGAGGACATTGCTCGCACAGCTTACACAACTGTCAATCAATTAATCATTACCCATGCACCGGAAGACGCCTTTATAGAAAATATACATGTACATGTACCTTCATTTACTTCAGGGTTTACATCTCGCAGTATCCTTATTTCGAATTATACAGATATATTTGTACAGTACGTCAGATGTCTTGTCATTGAGGGGCCGATCATCTGATATTTAACAGTATGAAGCAAGGATATTTTCTTCAAGCATGTACTGGGGCAATGTATGTCGAGTCAGTGATCACAGGGTGCTAAGGGACACGTATCAATGATCACATGATGATATAGGGACACTTGTCAATGATCACATGACTATATGGACACACGTGTCAATGGTCATATGTTGATATAGGGCCACGTGTCAATGATGACACAATGACATAAGGACTTGGTCAAGGATCACATGATATGAACAAGAGGGATACACAGGAAAAACACTTAGCACGGGTATTCTCTCAGTATCCACTTAGAACTGCAATGTATATTTTACAAATAGCTTACATGATTTGTAGGCCTCGATGCCAAACAGCTAAAATATATGTATTTAAATAATTACTTACACGTGTTTGTGATTCGCATTGCTATTCTCCCGCTCTGAGATTTGTACATGTATACCTCTTGATATCACGTTCATGAAATTGGCCCCGCCAGAATAAACAACAACATCTGAATGATGGTTATATCACGTAACGTACATAACGATCCTCGTTTTGATATGCTAAATTCAACTGTAATGACGGTCTTTTATCGATGTAACTGAAAGATTGTTGCGCTAAACCCAACTCCCTAACACACTCGATGGAGACCGTGATTCGTGTGTTCTCACCTCTAATGTTTGCTGGTGGCAATCACACACGTCTAGAACTTCAATTAGTGCAATGTTGTCCAGCCCAGATCGAATAATATCCCGTTGACCCGTTCCGGCAGTAGAGACAAACAGCCACTTTGACACATACCCTATTTCTTGGCGTCTTTCTGTTTCGGCTTGAAATACACCTGCCTTAAAACATAAGCATCAATGATCACTACTAAAGTTCTATGTATGATGAAAAATAATTCATGAAGTTTTTGACATCACAATTGTTCAATTGTACACAGATACGAAGGTGTGCACATGTTCAAGTGTACACATACTATGATGAATGCCTCTTTACTTGTTCTCTATGATCTATACCAATTCAATTGCACACACAATACTTAGACACTACCTGTTCAATAGCGTAGCGTAGGTTTTCCCCACTGCAAATAACAAGAACGTTGAGGTATTGAACTTGAAATTGTGTCAAATACCGGAGGTGCAGGAGTTCCCTATACAAATCAAGGATGCCGTGGATTTGAGCCACTAGCAACGTCCATGTCCTAAGGCCTGTGTCAAATGCTTGTGCTACATCCAGTGCTCTCTGTTCTGAAATAAAATTAAAGCAAATACTGATATAGGAATTAGTCAACATTAACTTGACTTATGATGCCATAACTATATTGAACCGCAAAAGAAACGTCACCCCAAGTAACATTGCATGGAAAGCTGTCATTTAAATATCTGGGTAATGTTTGTCAAAGTTTCTAAAATTTAACACTACCTTGTCCGAAAAAATGAAATTTGATGATAAAAAACAAAGCAGATGACATTAAAACCGATCGCCCAAACGCATCTCGGCAACGGCCATGGTAACCCGATGCACGTGAGTTCCGTGCAAATAGAAATGCACATGCGTTCCCCCATTTCTTGCCCCATAAAATTCCACCCAGATCGGATAACATTCATTCGTTATTGAATTGCTAACACCTGCCAAGATTGACAAGAAATCAGCGACACCAAGCCCTTGGACGATTGCAAGCTGGACAAAAACCGCCCAGCAAGTAGCTAATGCATTTCAAGTCCACGTAAGGACCATATACAGGATCCAGAAACTGTACCATACCACCAACACAACAGATGGCCGACCACGTAGTGGAAGACCAAGGGTCACCACCCGACGTCAGGATCGTCAGATTGTGCCAAATCATCTTCAAGATCGCTTTGTTACTGCTGCGGAAACTGCTCTACAGACCATGGGGACACAACAGCGACACATTAGTGCGGACACCGTGCGTCGACGATTGACGAGCAGACACCTCCACTGTCACAGGCCACACCGAGAGTCAGGCGACGCCGTAGGGAACGTTAATCGGATGCTTGTGTTGTTGAGAGAAAACTCATGGGGTGGTCCGAGCATCATGGTTTGGGGTGAAATTGGCCCTGTGAACATCCAGAACATCGGTCCAGGGAGAGGCAATGGTGTTACAGCAGCTCGGTACTTTGATCAAGTCTTGAGACCACACGCCATACCTCATTCGACGCAACCACGGGTTTTAGTATGATGACGCCCGTGCCCACACTGCGAGAGCAACAAGAGACTTCCTCCAGCAGAATGGCATCAGAACCATGTCCTCAGTCCCGATTTCACTCCCACTGAGCCCCTATGGGACGAAATTCAAAGACGGCTGAATGACTGCATCTGAACTGCGTCAGGCGTTCCTCAGAGTGTGGGCTCAAGTGCCTATGGCCTTCATCAATCGCCTCATCCATTCCATGTTTCGACGTTGCACGGCAGTCATCAATGCACATGACGGACACACGAGACACTGACTTGCGATGCCATTTTCTCAGAGACTAGTGTTGTGTTTCACTTAAAGAACATTTCAACCTTGATGATCAGTTTTGCCAAGTTTCGTCTTTTTAATATGTCTCGATGTATGTTTACAGTGTTTCGACAAATAAGGTTTCTCATATATATATCCATGGTGACGTTTCTTTTGCGGTTCAGTATGGTTCTAGTTTAGTATAAACACATTTCTTTGCAGTTAAATCATCCAATTATCAAATGCTGTTAGCAATATCCTAATATTTCATACTCGTTGATCGATAGTGAGTGAGTTGGGGTTAACGCTGCTTTGAACAGTATTGCAGTTATATGACATCGAGATGCAAGTCTGAGACATTTACCCTTTATAGCGCTGACAAACCAATATGTTTATAATCAGAACGAATCGGGGATTCCACCCCAAGATCCTAACATCATGACGCGCCTAAGCCAATCTGTGATTACAACGTACAGAAACATGCATTGCATTTCCAAAGAAACTTATGGTCAATGATTATATATATGCTGATTAAATCAAGTAATTATACCAGTGCCATATATATATGCGTGTGTGAGTGATATCGATATCACATCTGACTACGATGAAATGGCATTGTGTTTTCGAAGAACTTCTTCTTTTCAAATTGTGGCCCTTTTTCTATTCTTAAAAAAATAAAATAAATAAAACAGGTGCAAATTCAAGAAACTTAAAGCTACACTACCATTTTGAGTGTCACATATGACAACAAGAGTGTTCCATCCGAGGAGCGCCATTATTCTATTGACCACCGTTACAGCAAAGTCAGAGATGGGCTGACACTGCTGAAAAGTTAGCTTCCCGGTTGAAGATGTATGAGAACTGCAGTCAACGTCATTTTCATCAACATGACAACATGGAAGCTGGGCGGTATCATCACCATGCGAGGATTCCTGATAGTCTGGTCCGTTGTGTGAGTTACTGGGACCTCCTCCGGACCCAGATCCATGGCTATTGCATTCCAGCTCTGAAAAAGCATTTACTTCTGACAACTAACGTCATTTATACGAAATCCTAAATTAAATGCTGCCACTTTGCTAGCATATATATTTATTTGTAAAACGAAATGTCTCGTTATTTCAATTATTTGTTTATTTTCTCGAATTGTCAAGTGTATTGCGATTAGTTTCTCGTTTCTTCGAGTTTCTCTCTCGTGATTTCAAATTTATTTCCAAAAAGCGAAATTTCGAGAAAATAATTGAAATAACGCGAAAATAAATCGAAGTAAGAAAAAATCGCGTAATTTCGAAAAAATAGTCGGAAAAACAAAAATCAAGATTTTGAAATAAACTTGAAAAAACGAGAGAGTAATCGAATTTACGAGAAAATATGTGAAGTACCGCGAATAAAAGCAAAGCAGCGAGAAAAAAATCGAAATTTCTATTTTTTAAAGATAAACTTCAATTAACGAGAAAATCTTCAGTAACGAGACAAAACATTATTGTGTTTCTTGGTTTATTAGCACCATTCACGGACTCGTTGGTTTCATCAAAGTGGTACACGGCCTTGACCACTTCAAACTCTCATCCCACACCAAGCAGACATGTCATGACAGAACTGAATATTTTGAAACGTCTGTGGAACTTCATGTTACCTCACATAATTTATATTATATGTATTTGAAAATTGAAAGAACCGTTGTTTTGATTAGGTTTTATTTAACCATCACTCATTTCTGCTACAGTTTTGTAAAACGTAATCTGTACTGGGATATTTTGTGTAAAAATAAATTGGTTTAATGAAGACTTGGGTGTGAAATGCACTTGCACCCACATGACCCCCACCATGTTTGACTTGTTGACATTATGTGTATCATCCGAGATATGTTTATATAATTTTAAAAGTTATAAATCATTGTTTTTTTAATAAAAGTATGTAGAAGTATTCTTTGAGTGGTGACTAAGCGCTAGTACAGTTAGTGTTTTGGATTATCGCTTACTTTGGATATTTTCAGTTGGAAAAAATAACATATGATAAAATCAACTGAGAGGTGCAGTTTATTTTGCTCTCCAGTTAAGTGAACAATTATATCCCGCCGATGTGGTCGTGTTGACGATTGAAGCAGAACACAAATCAGTGGATGATGAAATGAGCAACAATTGATTGTCTCGGTAAGATAACAGAAACAGGGTATAGAAGATTCTTGGGGTTAACATCAACTACTATTCTGCCTGAATTGTTTACTTTCAATTGAGCGTCATGCCAAAAGACGTTAAAAGATGGTACTTGTTGATACCCTGTCTGGCGCTCGGCATTAAAGGGCTAAAACAAGGGCTGGTCGGCTCGGAGTCAGTATACTGTGTCTGAGTGGGGTATTCATGTTTAACGGCGGCATGGTATCTCAGTGTGTGCTAGCACTATAAATCGGCATCAGTCCGGACTAGTACAAGCAGCCACACACACGTGCATGCACGTCGCTATATATGTGCAATAATCTTGGATGCGACGTTGAACCTCACCACCTTTCAATTTAAGGAGTAATACATATACACTACACACACGTAGTTAGCACCACGTCTCTGTAACTACATGTAGGAGGGTTAATATGTCCAGGTGGTCTAACGCCTGCAATCCGCTGTTCAGAATTGCCTTCCCTCAAGCGTTGCAGAACCGAGTTCGAATACCATAGTGTTTGAGCAACATAGCAACTCTTATGGATTTCGCTCAGAAAATACTTTTTGAAGACATGGATCCCCTCAAAGATTTCTCCCTCAAGGTACCGTCAAGTCGGCGTGTCCCGGACATAATTTCCTTTTCGAATAACGGATTGAAACCGTCCTCACTCGTTCAATTTCATAGTACACATTTTTATTCTGTTTGACATCAATAAATAGCCGTACCAGCAAAAGTACTCAGTAGTTTTAACCTAACGGCAAAGTATGAGAGATGCTCAGGAATTCAGGAATAATTTAATCCTACTGTAGATATACTTGCGTCTATACTATTAGACACAACCATGACAAAAAGAAGTACAAGTCTTACCTCTTGTATTTAAAGAATGTTCACCATGTGAGAACGACAATGTGAATACTGCCACCACTGTCAAGATATCACGCACAAACTCTTCTCTCATCTTTAAGCAAGACAGATAAAATGTATCTCCGTCCAGAAATGAAGTTGGAATGCGACAGAATCCATCGATTATCATGTGTAAAATATCTCAAATTGAATTTTCAATGTGCGACCAGAATAATTAAATCAAATATAACGATTTCTGGTAGAATTACTCATACGACATGTCAATTTTTGTGCATCTTATTTACTTCTTACTCAATAATCAACACAACCCGTGGAACTAATTAGCGACTAGAAAACACAGAATGTGCTTCCAACATTTATTTAAGATATTTGTCATACATTTCTTATCGAGCCGGTTTACCTAAGACTAACGCCTTTAAGCGAAAGACTAGATGGTGAATGTTTCATTGGCACAAACATGTATTATGATTATATCTGAACAGAGCTGGCGTTTCTCAGCTGAATGAGGGGTGGGGGGTGGCCGAGTGGTTAAAGTGTTGGGTCCTCACAGCCGAAGACCGGGTTCGATATGTGAAACTTGTTTTTGGTGTCTCACCCATCCACTTCTGGAAAGTTCTTGAAAGACCAAAGGTTAACAGAAATAGCCGTGTCATTCAATCAGACACAAATCTACAATGGGATTGTGTTGGCATTGTATGTTTTTGGAGGCACGGGCTGCCCAATGTCCGTAATTCGTGTTAGAATCCGAGATTCTTCCTGATTAATCATCTTCCGAATTTTAAACTGTGTTGTCGATTTCACCAAATTGTAAAGACCACGGGATCCTTTTGTCCTTCAACAGTAAGTCAGTGTCTTCCTGATGGTTGACCTGTCGTGGTGTAATTAAACTACTCGGTCAGTGATTAGTGAGTGTATGATCTTGTAGCTAGGTATTCTAGTTTTCCTATCTATCTATTAATGTAACCGAGTTGATACTGACGTGAAACCCTCTTCAATGACGCATATGGCATAGAAAGGACAGAGGTGACATGTACTTTGTGATAATATGCTTCTACCTTAGTTTTTAACAGTGGAAAAGTTTTGAATGGTTGCGTGTTGAAACATATAATCAGTTTCACCTGTGCACATATACTGATTTAGAACACAAAATGCCATTATGCGCATATGCTACAATAGACACTTTGATGAAATCTTCTGGTAATCTTTTGGGGATGGTGTAATATATTTACACAAAGGGAGCATCCTTGTCAGCCACATTTTCACCTCCCATTGGTTCCCATAGTTAACGCCGCGTTCAAGATTATTTCACTCTTCCAGCGACATGCATAAACCTCTGAGACACATCACAATGTATTATGCAAAGGACAATACTCTTGGTCTCAATATTAACTCGACATGCATAACCCTCTGACACACATCACAATGTAATTTGCTAAGGGCAATACTCTTGGTCTCAATATTAACTCTTGTAGAATGCTTGTTGTAGATGAGTAGCAAATCATTCGTAACATGTGACATGTGCTCAGGGGATTAGCTGTGGACACAACTGAGATCAATGCAATTAGATTGTTGATATAGAAGTGGTGATATCTCCAAAACATTAACTCCATTGCCAAGTTTCAAAATGAAGCAATTATGACATTATAACCAGGGAATTTTGCACTGCGGGGTGGAAAATGTATTTAAGTGTGAGGGTGATGTTTCCCGACGCTTTTGGTAATAATCAACCATTATAAACAATGGAAACGCAGCCATTTTGGCGATCTTCCGGAAAACAATTCTAGGTCAAGGCCTAGGTTTTCACACAGGCATGTGCCCTTTGAGTCTTATATTGCCATTGGTAGATTAGCCAGTACTATTATGGCAAAAACGACGAATGAAAGCATTAGATGATCACATGCTTATCACGGGAAAGACGCTGATACCAGTATATGAAAAGCTGGGGGGTCACTCTATGACAATTCAGGCGCCAATGTATTCACAAAAGCGCCCCAATGTATTCACAAAAGCGCTTATACATGTATAACAAGGGTATTGTACATGGGTAGATTTATTATATTTTGTTACACATTCCAGTATGATACAGATAACACCTGTTATATGTCATCTTTTGGTATGATTATTTTCTTGCAAACCAATTCCTTTTTAATCTCACAGAAGCTGTAGATGTCCAAACGTTTCAATTCTAAATATGAACAGCAAGCAGTAGAGTCTCGGCTCATACCACCTGTTTCTTCAAGAGATGGTCATTAACAAGTGTCACAAACATGCACGTCTCAGTCATGGTCGTTGTCTCTTGCTATCCCTGACACGTGCCCACCAAATCTCGCTCATCAATGACAAAACGGCCATAAAACTTCCAATTCCAAGGACAATAAATGAACCTTGTAAGTCGATGACTGTGACAGTTTTGCCTTTCATCTCGCGCTGCTTTGAGCAAGAATCATCTTTTGACATCCATTTTCTTCTCCAGACATCATACAGGCCTCTTTCGGAGAAGGTTATTAACCTGAAAGAAATGTATGTTCATGGAGTTGTAATTGGGGGATAGCTGCGTATGTATTAAGCCTCTTTAACGAATTGTTTCATTTTTCAACAAATTACATATTCAGAGGAATTTAAAGAGTATTTTGCGAGGTTGCTATCACTGAAAGTCGTCTAAACTTCGTATGTCGTAGCCCTAAGCATTCAATAGTTTATCTGCATGAACATGTATTGGATTTTTGTATATCGGTAGTCATTGTAGCATTCAGAGAAACCAATATATAAAGCTCTTACCAATCCGAAACGGTCTTTGTAAATGGTGAATGCAATGGTAGACCAAGGGCGTACTGCATAGGGAAACCTACATCTGGAATCAGCTTCAATGAACTGTCATCTTGCAGCCATGTCTTAAGTATGTCAGATTCAACTACAAAGACATATTTTCCCGCCAACACCTTCCTCTTGTGCACCAGCTCGGAGGCATGGAGTACATCCGAGTCACTTTTATTGAAGTTTATGACACTTTGCCAAAAGCTTTGATGAACCGGGTCTTTGGAAACCTGGATAATAATAGCATTCATATTAGAAGAACTGTTCAGAGTTTTCTTGAACCAAAACACAGCATCATAAGACGGATGAGAGATGTTTTACGCCACAGTCAACAATATTCCACGATGGCTTGTAAAGAATCATGCCTGAGTCATGGAAACTAGTGGTTGACAGCAAGGCCAAAGGCCACGTTTTTGAGACAATTGAGATAGGCCCACAGCAACTGTGCTTGTCTATGAGGCGACCAAATTGATCAGGTGGTCAGCACCTGTGGGAATTTCAGGTAAAATTATAGGTCCCCGGTAGCCTGTGCTTGTCTATGTGGCGTCTGCATGGATCGGGTGATCAGGCTCGGTGACCTGGTTGATCCAATCGTTTCCCAACTGCGAGGGTCGATACTTATGATGTCAATCACTGAATTGTCTTTTAATGCAATATTGCTCGGTGCGAGATTAACCACAAACAACAAATCATTGTTGTTGGCTCTGACAGTAAGTATAAGTTGCCGTGGGCCTACTTTCACCAATAATATCAAGTGTTGAGCTATAATAAGGAGGTGTTTACAAGCAAATAATAATGGTCAAATTCAACATGAAATAAAAATATACGAACGGTTTCGTGAAAATCCATGACACGAAAGTGTAATGGTACAACACGTACGCTAAATGAATCGCTCCACAGAGATCCACCGAGTGTTCCCCACTTGTAAGTGTTTTGTTGTACCATTTCCTCTGAGGTTGAGAACGGTACCATTTGCTTTGAAACCGTGAAAAAAGCTATCATATTGCTGCAGTAGATGGCACTTGTTATCGCCCCAAACACACAGATAAAACTGAAAAGGATGTTACTAGAGGCCCTCATCTGATTTACAGAAAGACCTGAAAGAAAAGATTACATTTTCATTAATAATGACAAAAAACATTGCAAGGGATGCGTGTTTATAGCAGGCATGGGTTACTGAAGAAAAATAAACTGTCCCCCAAAAGCTTTCAAAATGTAATAAGGCCCCGTGTTTTACCACGAAAACAATTGTTAACCAGACTGCTCGAAAACGAGTAATGTGGGTCTGAATTAAACATTTTCCCTTCTCTTTTCAAAGAATATAATGTTTGTCGTGAAGCCTTCATCATTAAAGTTAAAACTAATGAAAGGAACATTAAATGGACACTTGCTTACTTTGTCGTATCATCAAACCAAACACTAGGAGCCACGTGTCCGATACGTCCTCTCCTCCTCTAGTGGCCATCGGACAGTGACGCGTTGTATACAGAAGTAGGATCAGCAACAGGAATGAGGTGACAAGGCAAAGATGGACATATAACGATAATGGCTGGAGGTAGAGCTGCCATCTTGAAGCTTCTAGGTCTGGTAGACGGTACACACCAGCGCCGATGTCATAACCTATTGGGTAACTGAAGTCCATTATTTTCCTTCTCTCAAAAGTTTGGCCAAGAGGTGCTACGGTCATATCAATCTCCTGAAGAACATAACGCAATTTATAAAGTGGAGATACAACAGTTTGCACGTATTTTCGTGTGAGTGATCGATGAAAGAATCACTGAGTGATCTAATCACAACATCCAAATTCTCAAAAATAAGTAAACTGTTAAGCTGTTATCAAATATGACGAGCGAGTAATGAATATATATATATATATATTGACCAAAAAAACATACCTTTCTTTCAATTTGTCCTACAAGACCCGTCCACGTGCCATCACTCTTTTTTTCTCCCCATTCCAAATCAGGAGGAAAAATCATCTTAAAACTAAAATTGTGTGTTATGTTAACGTGATATATTTGTACAGATGTGGATGATAGATAGATATAACAAAATATGTTACATTACGTTGCAAATAGACACATATTCATTGATCTCTTGATGTGATGTTGATATATTGATGTTTGCATGACGTTAAATGAGGACCTAACGAATGGGCAATATTTGATGCCCTTGTCCCACCGGAATAATGAAAGTAGAGAAGTTATCAATAACTCATGTGATCAATGTAATCCTTCCATTATGCCATTTTAGACCAATACTGAGTGGCAACACTTATAACATCTAACTCTTTAAAAGTACAGATTAGGCATACGTGAAGTTCATAACAATGGAGAGTTCTTTCAGGATGTCGATACATATTCCCTCAAACACAATCCTTCCTGACTCATTTCGGATGTATGTGTATGGGGCCCACTGAAACAAAGAAAATATTTAATCAAACCAGCAATGACTGTACGTATTTTTCTGTCATATGAGAATAGGCTTGACAATTTTATCTTTGTCCATACTGTCACAATGTGACATCTTCCGTATTTAGTGTACAGTAATTTAGGTTCGTGTTGAATCATGTCATTTATATGGCTACGCTTCCTTGACAATCTGTTGTTACGCAACCCTTTCTGTACAATAATCTCGTAGGAATTCTTGGTAAGAAGTGGTCCACGGCAATCTATGCTTCTCGTACGAAGCGACTTCATGCATTGGATGGTTAAGCTTGGCGACTTTGCTGATTGCGAGTCAACCAACCCCGAAGGCGTGAATCTTTTCAAAAACGTATGACCTGGGGACAGGACGGCGTCAATACAAAACCAAATGATGGCGTATCTCAATGGAACATTCATGAACTAGAAATGTCTTTTTGAAACAATTTCAGTTAACATCAATGTTCCCAGTATTCCGTTTATGCTTATATAAATCTCACACACAAAGACTGATAAACTCATTTACCCGAAGTGTTGAGGTAAGAAAAGGCCTCCCGTTCAAACCATGGTGAGTATTAGGGAAAATGTTGTTGTTTACATCAACAGTTCCATTGACATGAAATCGTCCAATGTGTTCGAACTCCCGGCCATGTTTTCTGTACATGAGAGTAAAAATATCGCCTGTTTGGTCTTCAATTGGATTCTGAAAAGACATTCATACATTGCACATCATATGTATAATAGAATTATTTGTGAATACTCGAACTAAGAATGAAACATGAGACTTGCAATTGTTTGCTACATGAAACATCTCTCGCAAAAGAGTGCTTTGCAGGGCGAGAGTGTGTGACATCATACGTTGACATTAAAATGCCTGGAAAAGTTGTTTATCCATGTTCGCCGTATCGACCAGAACGTTCCATCTCGTTTGTTTAACCTTTCATGAGAACATTTTAAAAATTGCCTCGCCATATTGAGCTTCCTATTTTCATGCTCTTTGCAATCCTAAATTATCCTTGTGATGAGAAAAATCAATACCAAATTTCAACTCAATCCAATCAACAGTTATGTAGCATATGTCGGACCATGGACTAATTCCCATGCCATATGCAGTAATGGTCGTTCAAATAGTACGACACGTGAGTTAAATCCTTGTTTTCCTTCTTGACTGAATATTACTACATTTGACTTATGTGAGGGTCCCTATGTATGAGGCATTTCTTCCAAGGGGGGAAATCAACAAATGGTGTCAAAATTAGAATTGAATTTTTTCTTTTTACGTTTGCGTTTATGACATGACGGATGTTGACAACAGGCAATGTCACCACGGCGACGTTGTCGAGCCAGCTATCGTTCTGGAACACCCCCAGATTTTTTTCTGACATCACCACCAGCCACGAGGAAGCGGATCGCAGGTCGGTTCGACGCCCGTGACGTACATCGAACGCATTAGCCTGGAATGACCAATTGCAGGTTATTGAGTGTAGCCACAATATTACTGGAGAGATGACAATTAATGGATATTCATATGTTTAAGATGCCACGCCACAGTATAACATGGTCACTTCACTCAACAAGTAACAACAAGTACTATCTGTTAGCTTCATTTGGTATGACTGGAGATCGAATAAGACCTTCCGTTTTCCCGGCAGATGCTCCATCCATTACCTTATCCATGCGGTAACCAAAACTACATTCCCCATAGGCAAATGCATCACTATATTTAAGGACTCTGTTTCAAGACCAAAGAGTGATGACGTTGGCAAATTCACATCTGCTTCACATTAAAAAAAAGTTTCCAGAATAATGCCTGCATGTCAGAGTAATGGTCAGTGTGGTCATTTTTAGTCATAAGCGTCAGCGCTTTACGGATAGTCATATTCAATTCCTATATCACAATACATAAGCGATTAGCAACTGATATATCATTCAACTTCACAACAATGAAACCAGGTTTGTGAAACGAGTGAGCCTGAAGCACCCGTCGTGATCGGTATCAAGGCCAAAAAGTATTTGCAACAGAGCACAAGATAAAGTGCTCTCTGGCATGTAATTTGAGGATGACGACATTATAGAGACGCTAGTACTTTGATCATGCATAGACCGTTTCAGCTTTGCATCATAATACCGTGGGAGTTCAAAAACATAAAGCGGTTTTCGACGGACAACGCTGCATGGCAACTCAATAACACAATAAGCAGTCAAACAACTACAGATATTTTCCTACAAATAGTGACACGCCGGTTTTACGTTACTGGTATTTGTGTTTGTGGTCTACTGTACCTCTTTGAGAAGATGATGCACTGCCTCTTGCCTACCTAGTACCATAATGTGCCAAGGATACACACTACCTAAAACTCTCCATAACATGGTCTGTAGATCTGGGCTACTGGACGAGTTGAACAGGGTTGAGGAACTGGTTATCCCATTTGCTTTCAGTGCCGTGGTCAAAGCCAATGAAGCTTATTGAGTAAATAAAATCATTATTATATGATTAATAGCAATCAATCTTAAAAGAAATCAATCTTAGAATTAGCAAATAGCGAAATTGTTTGAAACATTTCCATTCCATTGAATTGTTGTAGAAATGTTACCAATCCTGAAACGCGATGTAACAGGTTATGCCATCATTAGAAAAGAGGTATGGCTAAAAGACTGAAAGAAACATATTGCCATCCTGCAGTAAATCATTATCGAAGAAGCAAGATAACAATGACATTGACTGATACGTACCATCATTATCCTCTGCAAATATGTGAATCTGTGACCATCGAAGATGTTGCAACAAGTGACAGATGCCAGATCTAAACTGCTGTATAGGGAGGTAGTAGTTTGGTTTCGACGGCAGATCTGGGGAGCTTGACCGGAAACATATTATAGACTTTTCCAGTCGTTGTTGATTGAAATTGGAAACCATTGTATTGCACATGTTTTCAGGGACCAGAAGCACATGTTGGTCTTGTATCAAGCGCCTTGTAACTGTAAAGTAGTTAATAACCATCAATTAGAATACGTACGGTAATACTTATTATTATGCCATGATAATCAATAATAGCTCAGAAAACTCTTTTACATGATTAATAACTAAAATATACGTACACAAGTATGTTTACCGTTCACACATTTCCAGTTAGAGTCTGGAAAATGTTTATACAGGCATTGAGGTGTAGATTTTTTCTACTATCCTGATAAAGAGGAAAAGAGTCGCCTTGAAACGGCGTGTACATGCAATAAAGGAGTGCCTTGCCTTAAGTGTATCCAATATCTTAATGCCTATAAAGATTCTATTTCCACACATTCTAACGTGATTCTGTTCCCCGGTGGTGTCCATTGGTAATGGCGATCATATTGTGTTTTGTTTGTCCCCATATCTGAGCATAATCTTGAAAACAAACTCTGCATGCAAAGTGTCATGTCTTTTACACAATGTGCGGAGTTTTTCTCCAAAATGATAGACTGAGAATCGCAGTTGGTTATTCTTACTGTTAGGCGCCTTGCCGTGTCTATCTATTTGTAAATTATCTCCATATTTATAACGATAGTAAAGGATGCAGGATATGATATGCAATACATAATTTCATTTCGAAGTAGGTAACTATTCAAACCTTTTGATTTTTTCCCGAGATCATATGGTTGGAGTGAGTGAGGTGGGTTTAACGCCGCTTTTAACAGTGTTACATTTATATCGCGGCGTGTCAGGACGACCGTGCACGCACCCCCACCCCCCACCCCCCATATGGAGGGGGGGGGGGGGGGGGGGGGTATGGAAAAAAAATATTAATAAAAATAAAACATTTATAAAACACGAATAGTGACATTATAATAGCGACAAAGCCATTTTCATAATCATGAGAAGTATCTGATGAAAGCAGGGTCCATTTTACGATTCCGATCATATCAAAAGCATGTGTTTATGAACTGCTATCAATTAGTGACGATACCAAGTGTTCACGAAAACTTTAGGTAACCTGCCCCACCGTTGTCACCAGTGATTATATTATATCCGATACTCACCGCCTTGAGCCAGTTGAAAGGGGAAGCCAAGTGAAATGTTGATGAAGGTGATATTCTCTTTTAAAAAGTCTTGTGAAGTGTGCAATTCGACTTCATCATCTGCGTTGTAGCCAAATATACCTATATATAAAGAGAACAATATAACAAATAAGATGTATTGCTTTGTCATGCTCACTCGAGAGTTTGTATGAGTGAGTGAAATGTGTGAGAACGCCGCTTTGAAAAGCATTTCAGTTATGTAAAGGCAACTACTCA